CTCCTCTCTCCTTGTTTCCTCTCCTTATTTCCTCTCCTCCTCTATCCTTGTTCCTTCTCTCCCGTAATTCCTTTATTTGTCCTTGTTTCCTCTTCTTGTCTCCTCTCCTCTCTCCTTGTTTCCACTCCTCTATCCTTGTCTCCTTTCCTTTCCTCTATACTTCTTTCTTCTCCTCCTCTGTCCTTGTTTCCTCTCCTTATTTCCTCTCCTCCTCTATCCTTGTTCCTTTTCTCTCGTAATTCCTTTACTATTTGTCCTTGTTTCCTCTCCTCTCTCCTTGTTTCCTCTTCTCTATCCTATTTTCCTCTCCTCTCTCCTTGTTTCCTCTCCTCTCCTTGTTTCCTCTCCTCTCTCCTTGTTTCCTCTTCTCTATCCTATTTTCCTCTCCTCTCTCCTTGTTTCCTCTCCTCTCATTGTTTCCTCTTTTCTCTTTGTGTTTCCTCCCCTTGTGTCCTCTACTCTCACACTGTTTCCTCTCCTCCTCTATCCTTGTTCCTTTTCTCTCGTAATTCCTTTACTATTTGTCCTTGTTTCCTCTCCTCTCTCCTTGTTTCCTCTCCTCTACACTTGTTTCCTCTTCTCTATCCTATTTTCCTCTCCTCTCTCCTTGTTTCCTCTTTTCTCTCTTTGTGTTTCCTCCCCTTGTGTCCTCTCCTCTACTCTCACACTGTTTCCTCTCCTCTCTCTCCTTGTTTCCTCCCTCCTTGTCTCCCATCTCCCTTTTCCTCTATCCTTGTCTCCTGGTCTCTCTCTTCTACTTTTGTTTTCTCTCTTCTTACATTGTCTCCTCTTCTCTCTCCTTGTTTCCACTCCTCTATCCTTGTCTCCTTTCCTCTCCTCTCTCCTTGTTTCCTCTCCTCTCCTTGTTTCCTCTTTTCTCTCTTTGTGTTTCCTCTCCTTCTCCCCTCTTCTCTTCTCTCACACTGTTTCCTTTCCTCTCTCTCCTTGTTTCCTCCCTCCTTGTCTCCCATCTCCCTTTTCCTCTGTCCTTGTCTCCTTTCCACTCCTCTCTCCTTGTTTCCTCTCCTTATTTCCTCTCCTCCTCTATCCTTGTTCCTTCTCTCCCGTAATTCCTTTATTTGTCCTTGTTTCCTCTTCTTGTCTCCTCTCCTCTCTCCTTGTTTCCACTCCTCTATCCTTGTCTCCTTTCCTTTCTTCTATACTTCATTCTTCTCCTCCTCTGTCCTTGTTTCCTCTCCTTATTTCCTCTCCTCCTCTATCCTTGTTCCTTTTCTCTCGTAATTCCTTTACTATTTGTCCGTTTCCACTCCTCTCCTTGTTTCCTCTTTTCTCTCTTTGTGTTTCCTCCCCTTGTGTCCTCTCCTCTACTCTCACACTGTTTCCTCTCCTCTCCCTCCTTGTTTCCTCCCTCCTTGTCTCCCATCTCCCTTTTCCTCTGTCCTTGTCTCCTGGTCTCTCTCTCTTCTGTTTTTGTTTTCTCTCTTCTTACATTGTCTCCTCTTCTCTCTCCTTGTTTCCTCTTCTTGTTTACTCTCCTCTCTCCTTGTTTCCTCTTCTCTCACACTGTTTCTTCTCCCCTCTCTCCTTGTTTCCTCTGTCCTTGTCTCCTGGTCTCTCTCTTCTGTTTTTGTTTTCTCTCTTCTTACATTGTCTCCTTTTCTCTCTCCTTGTTTCCACTCCTTTATCCTTGTCTCCTTTCCTCTCCTCTCTCCTTGTTTCCTCTCCTCTCCTTGTTTCCTCATTTCTCTCCTTGTTTCCTCTCCTCTCCTTCTCCCCTCTTCTCCCCTCTTCTCTTCTCTTCTCTTCTCTCACACTGTTTCCTCTCCTCTCTCTCCTTGTTTCCTCCGTCCTTGTCTCCCATCTCCCTTTTCCTCTGTCCTTGTCTCCTTTCCTCTCCTCCCTCTAGAGAAGGAGTGGAGGAAGAAGGATGAGAGGGATGAAGATGAGGAGGAGGATGGAGAGCTGGATGACGAGCTGTGGGGCCTCAGAGCTCTTCAGAAACAGGAACTCAACAAGGTGCTCAAGCTCATCACAACATATATGATTATGTGTTATAGCATATTATTTATTTATTTATTTATTTATTTATGTGTCTTTAATTGTTCTCGTGTGTTGATATTGAGTTCATCATGTTTCTGCAGATTCAGTCTAATCTGGGAAAAATCATCCTGAAGGAGGAGCTGGAGAAATCTGCTCCTCTGAGGAGGAAAACTCGATCGCTGCCCGACCGCAGCCAACACACAGGTACACACACACACACACACACACACACACACACACACACACACACATTTACACAGTACGAAATACTCTGAAATAGAAATACTCAAGAGAAAACAGCTGTGGGGACACCTAGTGGTCAGGATGAATACAGGCAACATTCAATAATATATTTAATTTTATTTTATTTAATTTTATTTTATTTTATTTATGTGTCTGAACATAATGATATTTATAACTCAATGAACGACGTTTTAAAGAAATAAAACAGCTTCATATGTGACTAATAATATCTAAAGTAGAATAAGTGACTCTACATGTGTGTCAGCTTCAACATGTTCTTAGAAACTGAGAAATCAAACCTGATCTGTTCTGAGAGGAATCAATGAACTGATGTCATTTCCCTCCTCGTCTTCAGGGTCCAACGCAACCAAGTCGGTGTATTTCCCAGCATCCTCTAAGAGCGGCCTGTCCAGGGTGAGTGCTGCTCCACAGAATCGTCCAATCAGAGCAGAGTTTACTGATGCTGACGTTGATGTCTGACATGTTTGTGTTTGTTTTCAGCTGCAGTCGGCAGAGTTCAGCTCCTCGGAGAAAACTCCTGCAGGTACGTGATCAATATTCATCACATCAGTAATATTGTTGTTGTCATATCAGCACAGATTATTATCATTATTATTATTATCAACATTATTATTATCATTATTATTATTATCAACATTATTATTATCGATTGTAAATAATATTTTCCTCCCTCTCTCCGTCTCTTCCTGCAGATCTTCAGGTACAGTCTGATTGTTTCTTTGTGTTGAGACATTTTCAGATCATCAATAAGAGTCTGTGTCACTGACGCTGGTTATTATACTGATGATAACATGTGTTTGTGTCAGAACGGAGACTCCAGGATGGACCGAGGGAACTCTCTGCCCAGCATGTTGGATCACAAGGTGACAACACTGTTTGTTTTAACGTGACATAAACGTGCAGCCGTTGATACAGACAAATAAAGAAATAATGCAGATATAAATATAAAATATGATGATAAAGACAGTGAGGATCAGACAGACGTATGAGGCACAGGTCAGTGTACATGACATGTTTGTGATTATGTGCGTGATATTTCACATTATGTCCCCGTGATCTTCACTGATAATTACATTTAAAGGGTCAGTTCACCCAAAGTCAAACAAAGCAAACACCTGCACATGGAGGACGTTTTGTCTTCACACAGAACAATGGAGACTGTTAGAAAAGTGACAGTTAGGCAACATGCTCGCCAATCTGTCCGCCTTTGATGGAGACCAACAGACAGCAAAACCTGATATTTTTAAACAGTCATTGTCGTGTTTCCAGACGCTTTGGAGCCACCAAACTTGGGTGGTTTTTGCGCAGCGGTGATGTTTTTTCTGCCACAGAAAGAAGATGTTTTTAATCCATTATGCAACTGATTTTTTTCCCAGACATCACTGTGTTTTTCCTGTGAGGATAGCGCCACGAAAACCAGTTGTTTCACTAAGACATTGCTGTTTTTCCTGCCGTCATAGTGCCACAAGAAGGCTTTTTTTTTTTTAGAGATGCAGCTGCGTTTCCTGTGAGGATAGTGCCACAAAAAACGGTTGTTTTTCCCAAGACATTGCTGCATTTACTGTCATGATAGAGCCACACACAATTTTGATTTTACAGAGACACAGCTGCATTTCCTTTTGGGACAGTGGCACCAAAAGCCTTTTAGTTTTACTGGGACATCACCATGTTTCCTGTCAGATAATGCCATGACAAACAGAGACATCACTGTATTTCCTGCCGTCATACTGCCACAAAAAGCAGTTGTTTTTCCCCAGACATTGCTGCGTTTACTGCCGGGGTAGTGCCACCCAAGGCGCTTTTATTTATTTTTTAACTGAAGTGTTTTTTTGTAGAGACATGGCTGTGTGTCCTGCCGTCATAGCACCACAAAAAGTAGTTGTTTTTACAGAGGCACAGCTGCATTTCCTGCCAGACGATGATCGTTTTCCTCCATAACCAAGTGGTTTTTATGCCTAAACACAACCACACATTAATCACAGTACTGTTGGAACATGAAGGTGAACTGGTCCTTTAGTTCAACAAAGAAGCTGCTAATGTAATATCGCTTTCTCTTTCAATGCTTTATCTTATAATGAACCCTGACTATAGCTCTTGATTGATTGACTGACTGATTGATCTCTGTAGATTTGCCCCTATGAGGTGCTGGTGGTGACTCACAGAGGGCGGAGCAAACTGCCCCCAGGTGTGGACAGAACCAGGCTGGAGGTAAATTTCAGCTCACAGTCGGATGTAAAAATGTTTCTAATGTCTCAGTGGGATTAAATGACCCTCTCTGTCTGTGTCTCTGTCTCTGTCTGTGTCTTTGTCTCTCTGTCTCTGTCTCTCCGCACCGCAGCGCCACCTCTCTCAGGAGGAGTTCTTCAGTGTTTTCGGGATGTCCATCGAGGAGTTCGACAGCCTCTCTCTGTGGAAGAGGAACGACCTGAAGAAGAAAGTCTGTCTCTTCTGACGCACCACATCTCCCACAACCCCCCTGCTCTTCCTGGATCACTGCAGGACCCTGAAACCACACGGACTCATTATTATCACCGCCGCCACCGCCACCGCCACCGCCACCGCCTCCACCCTCATCATCACAGTCAGACGCTCAGTGAGCCGTCAGGTTTGATTCACAGTGGAGTTTGAATGAGTTTAGATTCCTGCTGCACACATCAGCTCCTGCAGAACCAAACGCTTCAGTTTCTAAACGTCTGTGGAAAATGTGTTAAAAACCAAACTGCAGAGCGAGTTAGCACAAAGAGTCAACCTGCAGGTCAACAAGCACAGAGCAGCTCCAGCTTTAATGGCTTCTGATCAGAGCTCCACCTGAGAGCAGAGGGACTCCAGTGGGTTCACCTGGAGGTGAAGGGGCGTGGTCACACCAGCGTTAAGTCATTTCATTTTAATAAAATCGCTGCAATCAGTGAAGTAAATTCATACTTATCTTTTTGCGTTGAGTTTTAGTTTGGTCAGCGTTAACAGGTAAATCTGCTCTAAAACTGTTTCGACAGTCTGGAGGTGTCTGAGCTCAGAGACTGCAACTTTAAAAAGACTAAATGCACCAAAGTGTGAAAGCCTCTCGTATCTTAGGACAACTTGAGGTTTTAGTCGCACAGTGTTAGATTTAGCAGAGACGAGGGATCTTGCAGGGTCACTGTTTGCAGCCTCTGAGAGTATTTCCCATCCTGCTCCTGGTGGAAAATATTACACCAAACTCCCTTTAAGAAATAAGACATTTTAACGACTCCTTAACTGTCGGCAGAAACGCATCACTCTAGAAACACAAGATAACAGACGTCACATGTCGACAGTATTCTTCAATTCAGCATCAGTAGAACCCATAAAGATGAACTGTATTTATGTACAAACTTTAGATTTTGGATTTTGTCGCATCAACTTGCTGCCAACCTCCGTTAGTGAGCTGAGCTGTTTTTCATTGTCATTTCCTGGTGTGACCCGGCCCGTGATGTCAGATCATTCATCTGAAAGCTTTTAACTGTGAAACAAGAGCAGCCAGATTTAACCTGCTGAAGCACAGTTGTTTGGTTGTGGTGGTGGAATTCTGGGAAATGTAGTTCATTCTGCTGGCGATCCCACTGGAGTCTCTCCGAAGCTTTCATGTTAATCCCACAAACTTTAGCATCAAAAGTCTGAAACTGAAGCTGAAGCTGCAGTTTGAAGCTGAAGCTGCTGTTTGAAGCTGCAGTCTGAAGCTGAAGCTGCAGTTTGAAGCTGAAGCTGCTGTTTGCCTCCTGACAGATTAATTTCCTTCAGACTGGAGTGAATATTTTATCTCGCAGCTCTCGGCTGCAGTCGGGCTTTAAATCAAACATTCCTGCTGACTCTGAGTCAGAGTTCAACACTGATCTGACGCTGACTGTCAGCGATCTTTCCAAAGGATTGTTCCTATTGGCTCAGCCAGCTATGATGTCATAACGACAGCATTTGTTTCCCAGCACCTAAAAAGAAGAAAATAAGGAGACAGTTTGATCAGAGTTTGATGTTAAACATCACGACCAGCAGCAGGAGCGAATCACTGAACATGTTTATAACGAGCTGAACTCTGATAAATATATTTATCTTATTACCTTCATCAACGTCCCGACCTGTGATGAAGAGCTTTTTATGTTTTAGAATTTCTCTGCTTTTCCTCACAGCTTCAGGACGTCACTGAAAAAGTAAAGTTTGGTTTGGAGGGAAAACCTTTAAAATGCTGATGCAATCGACCCAGTCAGCAGAATAAATGTTTCTGTAAACCACAGATACATTTGTACGCTATTATGTAGTGGATACGCTGAAACAATGCTGTGGTTCACATGCAGTTATGTTCAGGCACAAAAGCCACTTGGTTATGGTCAGGAGAAGATTGTGTTTTGGCTTAAAACACCTGGTTTGGGGGGCAGTATCCTATTTTTGTGGCACTATTCTGGCGAGAAATGCAGCGATGTCTTGGTAAAAACAACCGCTTTTTGTGGCACTATGACAACAGGAAGCACGGTGATGTCTTGATAAAAACAACCACTCTTCATGGCACTATGGTGGCAGGAAATGCAGCGATGTCATGCTAAAAACCAAAGGCCTTTTTGTGGCATTAAGCTGGCTGGAAACACAGAGATGACTGGCTTAAACGTTGGTCTGCAGCTTGAGAGGCGTCTCGCCCAGGTGTCACGTACAAATGTAACATATGCTTGGTTTGCAGAAACATACGTCAACATTTTCTTCTGGTGACTGGACTGAAATGTGACAGAACATGAGCTGACGTGGACTTTAAGCTTTTTGTTTTAATTTAATATATATTTGGAGATTTCAAAGCTCTCGTCTTTACAGGGTTTTAACAACTGACAGAGACTCTGTCGGCTGCAACAGCTGACTCCAAAAACTTCAAGGTATAATGTTCACCATCTTAGTTAGCATGTTAGCATGCTGGCTAATTATCTGCAAATAAAACCAAGTGTTGTGTTTCTAACATCACATTTGACCGTCACAGACTGGTTGGATGTTGTGGTGTCACAGTCTTTGTTTGGCTCAGTTTAGGCGGTGAAGTTTCTACGACAGGTTGAAGGTGGTTCAGACTCCAGAGAAAGATTCAGTGAAATCAAACTTCATATCAGGGTGCAGCAGATCAAACCTTCAGCTCACGTCAGCTCTGATCAAACTGTCTCCTCATTGGTTTTCCTTTTTTAATACAGCAAAAGCCACTGCCCTGTTTTATCTCAGTACACACACACAGATATATATATATATATCTATAAAAACACAGACTTTTTGCAGTGTAGAAGAACAATGAAAACCTTAAAACCAGAGACTGAGAGCAGCGTTGCGTTAACCCTGCCTCTGCACGGCTCTGGTTTGTCCAATAAGCAGGTTGTAGACATTTAGTGTTGCTTAGTGACCAAATGATGTGCAGCTATTTTTTGATAATACATAGAGAAGTGGCATGTTTGTTATTAAAATGAAAATGTAAAATCAATCCATGAATGTTGAGAAAAGAAAAGAAGACGACGGACGGACGGACGGACGGACGGACGGACGGACGGAGACAAGAAGGACAAACTTTTTCTGAGGTTTCCAAACCAAAGGAGGACTGAGGCATGATGGGAAATAACCAGAGGACATTTCTCACCTCGACACCAGAGTTCAGCTGAACTCAGAGTGACCTGAACATCTCCATCATGAACACACTTTAGTACACACAGTTAAGTATTTAGAGAGTATTAATATCCATCAGCACACACACAGATTAATTAACTTCTTTAGCACCTTCAGTGAATTAAAAACAGACGTTGGTTTAAAATTGAACTTTGATCTGAACGGACAATTTAAAGGTGCAGCGTGTTGGATTTGATCTTTAATGAATCTAATTAATACAGTCGGCTTCGTATGACGCCTGTGAACACCTGAGACAAGTGCTGGGCTCCATCACCTGAAGAAGAGATCCACATTTTAAAATCACTTTTACATCAGTTTTCACTCCTCCTGTTGCTGACATCACTTCCTCACTGTGACCTCGTCACATGTCCACATTTGGTCATGGACTTTCCACGTCCACATATGACGTCCAAGGTACCCTGGGTGTGTTGGTTGTTGACGTTCTGGGACGCCGTGTCAACTTCAGCCTGTTACATGCATTGTCTGTTTTCAAAATACACTTCTGTTTTCACAGGAAATGTACAGTTTGCATACAGTCTCTTTCAAAATAAAAGCACTACATTGGTACAACAAAAGCACATGGCTGGGTTTAGGAAAAAAGAACAGGGTTTGGCTTTACAATCATACAGGATGTGAACACCACTCTCTCCGGTGAAAGTCAGTGTTTGTTGGACCTCCTCAATAAATTAGTTTTAGGATTTAGTGACATCTAGTGGTGAGGATTACAGATTACAGATTACAGATTACAACCATCTGACACGAGAGGGCAAAAACGTTAACGTCTCTATGTAGATCCAATGCATCAAAACATTGTTTTCTAGTTGGAGCCGCGCCTCGTTTTCAAACTGTAAGGTTTGACTAAAATGAACAATGACAGCAATATAGTCCACGATGAGCAGCGCTAAAATCAACCTGCGTAGTTGTCCCTCCATTGTGACATTAGAAAGTGTCACATTTATCTTGCAAGTGTACTCTTCTTCAACGTTTGCTTTACTTCCTGGATTTTTCCCACATGGAAATTCTGACCAATCAAGAGCAGCTTTCTCACACAAGGCATTTGATCTGGTCCTCTTGTAAATGCTGCAGTGAGAACACGAACCAACTCTAGGCAATTATACAACTTTGGAACAACATGAGTCCCTGATTCAGACCAGAGGAGACCACTCTAGGGCTGACAGCAGCCTTAAGCTGTTAGCCCTCCTTAGCACTGATGCTAAGCTAGCTGCAGCACTAAGCTAACGTCATGTCAACAACCCAGGGTACCCCACCTCTGATAAAAACTGGGACTCATCCAACAGTGGAGCATTTGTCTTCGCAGCTAGGCTGTCTTCATTTAACCAATGCTTTTGTCCAATGCAGTGAATTTGACCCCCGCATGCATCGAGACAACTTTAGGTTCAGCGTCTCGTCCAGCTGGTCGTCAGGTGTTTACAGTTATCATGTTATTGATTTTGTATCAATGTGATTTATTGAAGGTGAAATGAGTGGCAGCACCTTTAAATCAGCAGCTGTAGAGTCAGAATGAATTCACTCTCACTGCTGCCACATCCCGCATCACACACCACAACGCCACGTCTGCCTCGCCACCACACGCTTCCTGTATCTGTGGAAAAAAAAAAAAAAAAAGACTGGAGAAAAAAAAAAGAGTAGAAGAAGACTTGTGAGTTGAAGTGAGCGAGCATTGGTCACTTTACGTTGATGATTTCCTTTATTCTTTGTTTTCATTTCTGAGGAATGATTCTGACGCCGTTTGATGATACTGAGGGGATTTACGCTTTGTTCTGATTGGTTGTGTGTAGTTAGAAACAGGAAGTGGGTTGCTGTGACTAACACCATGATGACACAAAGATTGTTCCATGATTTTTTTCTTTTTGTACATGTTAAAGTGTTTTTTTCTTTTTTATTGAATTATTTTAACACGCAGGGCGACTTCGTGGAGGCGTGTCGCTGCCAACGTGTGGGATATTTTCACTGCTGCATGCATGATGTCATAATGATGATGTCACATTTGTATTTAACCTTTAATTAAATAGATTTAAGTAACGACACAGGAAGTTTTACTCTGGGTTTGAACCGATGTGTCTTTGGGCTTTGAGGTCAAGCCGAGGTCAGACTGAGGTCAAACTGAGTTCAGACGGAGGTCAGATTGACGTCAGAGGTCGTTGGCGGTGACTCACCCGTGTGAAGCCGCCCTGCTGCTGTACATACTGAACCACTGAATGAAGATATAATTCTTGTTGTTGTTGTTTTCATATCTGGATGCAGGTGATGTAACAGATGAATGGTGACGTGAATGATTAACATGAGTAACAATAAAGAGCATTTCTATTTGCTTTGAGGAGACCGTGTCAACATTTCTGTATTTCTGTCACACATTTAAAAAAGTATTTCACTGCTGTTCTTTGCATAAAACTGGGCTGTCTGCAGCAGAAACACACAAATACTTCTGAACCTGGTGCTGCATGACCGATGTTAGGGAGCAGCTGGTTACATGTAACAGAGTTATGTACGACCCCACCTCCAAAAAGTTGGCATGTTGTTTATGATGTAAATAAAAACAGGATGCAATTATTTGCAAATCCTCTTTGACCTATACTTTACTGAAAACAGTACAGAGATTTTTTTCACAGCATCCCAACTTTTTTGGAATAAGGGTTGTTATTAAATAACAAAATAAATATATTTGTAATTTGTCACAGTTACTGAGAGAAAAATATGTAATTACATGACAGTTACCAATAAAAAATAATGATTTACATCAGAATATATTCTCTTACAGGAAAAACTTTAAACATTTGTTCGGTTGCTTTGCATCTTTACACTGTGCAGGAATGTCTTGTTTTTATGAAGTCTGTTTCTGTATATTTTTCAGCTTTATTGCTCAGTTTAAAACATTTGTTTCAAAAAGCAATGAAAAAGGAATTGTAATAAGTTTCATTACTTTGATAAAGTAATCAAAATAGTTACATCACTTATTACATATTTAACACGATAACTAGTAATAATAATAATAATAATAATAATAGTATATTGGATGTACACCGTGATTTTATGGATACTCAAAGACACTTTACAGAGAGCAACAATAACAATAAATAAAATATTACATTAAAATATTACAATAACAACAAAAAAAGAAATAATCCATCAGAGGGGAAACAATGTGGAGAGGGAGAATAAATGACAGTAATCCTTAATCTATAACATTTCAAAAGTAACTTTCACACAACTCTGTACATGACCAGAGAAAACAGAAAAAATTGGTCTTTTGCTCAAGAGGGAAAAAACCTACAATTACCAGAATGCCCTGCACCGCACCGGAACAAACTCTCCTGCTAGTGGTGACGCTTTCAACACACGAGACAAAATGGCGGCCAGCTGGGAACAAACGATCTGATTACAGTTAAACGGTAAGCTTAGATATGTTTCTGAAAACATTTAAATATATAAATATGAACTCAGTAACAGAATATTGATTTAAATTTGATCAGCGCTGCTTAGTTTTACTGTTTAATCTACTTTTTTCAGTCTCCGTTTTTACAAAACAGGAAACAGTATGGCGCCCACTTCCTGTTCACAAGCTCTCGCTATTACAGCTAAAGAGTGCATTGAAATATATTTCTGAAGACATTTTAATGAAGAATTAGGCAAGAGAGAAAAATCATTGGTTTATATTTGATCAGCACGGCCGAGTTTTATAGTTTGAATAGAGTTTGAGAGAAAGAGAGATGGAGAGGGATTTCTTTCTTGATCCACCTCTGTACTCTTTGTGACTGTAGAGGCACTGCAGGCATTATGATGAAAATTCAGAAGCACATTCTGTATCTGTAACATTAACGTTACAAGAGCCAGAGTAAAATGTGAGCTGGGTGATGATCAGGAAGATCTGGGCACTCGAAGTTTACTAAAGTTCATGATACAATAAAAATCACCAGTTTTCACAAGCTGTGTTTCCATCCAAAAGTGATTGGAATCATTGGGAAATGTGCATTAAAAGAAATATGAATCCTGTGTGTTTCCATTAAATGTAAGGACTTTGGTGAAAACTACGAACTTGTGTGAGTTTTCCGCAGAACCGGAAACAAAACAAGTCTTGCATTCTTCTTCTTCCACATTTTCTGGTGCTGGCAACCAGCTTGTAAATGCATTATCACCTTCCCGACCTGGAGTGTGGATATCACCATGGAGAGAGGTGCGCTACGTCAGACTTAATTCGAACATAACTGTTTCCATCCCCCGTTTTGCCAATCAACATTTTTTCTAATCAACCAAAACCCGGCTAAAGCGAGCGTATTTTAGTTTGTGCGAATCAGGGGATTTTAATTCGAATTTTGGGGTTTCCATCTTGATTTTCCGATGCGATACTTCTAGATGTGCATCTAAACAGGCTGATGGAAACATGGCTACTGTAATAGTTTGGCTGTAGTTAGGCACAGTTGTGCTTTGAGCTAAATGCTAACATTAGCATGCTAACCTGTTCACAGTGACAATGCTAACATGCTGATGTTTAGCAGAAAATATGTTTACCATGAGTGAGTCTCAAATCACATACTTCTGTTAGTCCACTTCAGTGTAGTAGACTATGTTCACTATGTACTTCTTGTGTAACGTTAGTGCACTAATTTCAGCAGAGTAGTGTTGTCTCAAATCACACACTGCTGTTTTGCATTTACTGGAAGTGACTACAGTTTCTTCTTCTTTGTTTTCTTTTTAAACTTTGAATTGCAAACAGACAGTGGAGGATTATCGCCAACATTTGACAGCTGTCTCCGCCCACACAGAACCCACACTTACGCCACAACGTCATGCTAATTCAAATGTGCCGCTGCATCTACGAGCAAGACAGCTAGCTAGTGAATGCTAACATTCACTAGCTAGCTATCTTAAGCACTCACATGATTGTTTTTTTTAGACTTTTTTATAGACTTTTATTTATTTGCACATAAATATAAAACAAAACAAATACACATATACATATCTCTTTTGGTAGAGAGGAAGATAAGGAAATGTGCAGGTGAGGTAGGAAACCCGAAAGGCTTATAGAGTGACCTCACCCTGACCTAACAATAATTTAAGCAAAGAAAAAAAATAATTAGCATTGTTGGCAGTACCAATTCATTACAGACCCAACAAACATCACTGACGGCTTCTATTCAACAACAGTTTTAGTACAAAATACATGTAGAACTAACAGAGTCCTTGTTGTCTCCAGCCGCCATGTCAGAAGTTTGCTACATCACAAAGATGGAGACCGTCGAGGGTGAGAAGTGTCCGTTATTCCACTCTCAACTTTTGGACCTTTATGAGTGTGTCAGTAGCACATTTTCTTTTTCATTTTCTTGTACTATGCAGTGTGAACTAAAAATATTAAGTGTTTAGTACAGAAGTATTGGAGAGTATTTGAGACACACTGCATGTTTACCATCTTAGTTTAGCACATTAGCATGCTAACATGCTAACATTAGCTAATTATCAGTAAAGTCCAGCTGAATGTCTGAGTCTCTGTTTGTACAGAGATGGAAAAAATCCTGCTTTAACACAAAAAAGCAAAATGACACAAGCGGCTCCAACTGTTCCACTTTTCCATATTTTGACATGATAAATGACACGTTAGGGCACATTAATCATGTATATATATAGATATATATATCTATATATAGATATATAGATATATTCT